AACAGCATGGTAATTACAGTCCTCAGGAATGGCACTCTGTGGCCACACAAACAGAGAGTGTATAAAATCCTGCACAAAAATTGTTCCAAACGCAATGACTCGTTTCTTATAAAATCTTACATTCTTGTTGAGCACCACGGAGCAGTATCTTACTTCCAAGAAAACATTGTAGCCCCACGCTGTATTTGAAACTATCTAGTCAAGTATTAAAACGTATTCCCTCTTTCACGTCTCTGCCTCATACAACTGCAGTTACTAATTGTAAAACTTCCTCTCTGAGGAACCTTTCAAAACTAGCATCTTAAAAAAAAACACAAAAAACTTGAAATGCAATCAGAGGCAAGTCTAACCAGTTTTCAGAACAGTATTTGGATAAGATCTTTCATGAACATGTCATGTAAGCTGGCATGAATGCAATAGTTTGCTTCTGACTCTCATCTCCCAATTCTAGAAAAAAAAAAAAGGAGATGAGGTATAATAAAACCTGCCTGCCTTGACATTTCTGCAACACAAATATTTCGGTATTTCTCACACCAGCCTCCAGTTGAACGGGGTTATTTCCCCAGCGTAAATTTCCCCAACTCACTCTATTAGACGCTGCAATTCCAGCAACGGCCATTGTAGAAATAGTCCGATGCCAAGAAAACTGACCAATAATTAAAGAAATTATTGCTGAGCTCATAGCTTGTTTTTATAATGAAACTGCTGACTAACTTTGAAAATAAATCCCTCCCTATTCAGCCAGCGATTGATGCATCCAGTATGTTTGTGTAATGAAACCTCTGGTAGTGTCTGGGACCGAGACTGCTATAATTAACCCACCTAAAAGAGAACAAAACTCATTCTGATGAAAAGCTGTTACCAAAGTTAACTAAACTGCCAATCAGTGCCCCTTGCCGACATCCTGTGAATGCAGACGTTCTGCATGCTTGCTTGCAAACAAGATTCGCCCTAGAACAGTACTGGCGAACCTATGGCACACGTGCCAGAGGCGGCACTCAGAGCCCTCTCTGTGAGCACATGTGCCGTCACCCCAGCCCCGCCTCCCCCCGCCTCCCCGTCCTCACCAGCAGCCCCCCTGGAGGAGAGTCACCCCTGGGCGTGGCCCACGTGGAGCAGCGCAGCCAAGGACATGGCAGCTGGGCAGCGGGGACAAGACGCGCAGATGATGCTACGGGGTGTGGGTGGAGGGTGTGGCCACCATGGCGCTGCTGGGCCGCCTGGACAATTGCTCTGGCGGGCCGTGGAGGTGGTGGGTGGCCCTGTGGGTGGAGTGGGGGGCGGGGGTGGGCAGGGTGGGGCAGTTTGGGGGCACTCTAAGAGACTTCTAAAAGGTGCGCCATCACTGCCCTAGAACATCTTGTGGGAATCCAACCAGATTGTTTTTCATGATCCACAAACCCTTGAGAGAAGCTGAGGCTGCCTGCTTCTCCTTAGCTAGAAACAGTAACCACATCAGTTTTTACATCCCCTAAGGACGACTAAACCCCACTGCAGATAAATTACAGACCTATAAGATGGTACGACAAATCCACTCAATTCAAGGAAACAGTCCTGCCAGACTTCCTGGTTGCAACATCTGGTTTATCTAACTGACTCTGTTTCGCCAACTTAGCCCTGTACTGTTAGGAAACCATGGTTTGGGGCTCAGTGCAATAAGTCCACCCTGCCTATTGCGTCTTATTCAGCCCACAACGATGTAATGCACTATATAATCCAGAGCAGAGATTCTTATCTGGTGTAAATGTTTGCTGCAAACTTCAGAACTTGAAACAGGTTCAGAATAAGTGATGGGATAGAGTTCCTGAAACTAAATAACCAAGATAAAAACCACTGCACCTGCGGGATCCTAAACACTATTTTAGGTTCCAGGAGGGGAAGGAAAATATGGACATAATAAAAAAAATGCACATGGCCTTTGAAGGTTTGCAATGACAAATTTTAAAAAAAGCATATTATTCACTACTTTAGTTCTAACACTGAGAAGGACACTATGTTTTCTCTTATAAGAAGCAAGGGACAACATCTAGACTACTTCCTATTTTTAAAATGAAATATTATGATTATCCTGCAGGGCTGATGAATGAAACACAGATGACCTTTGGAAGTGTTTTGGACTATTTAAAGGTCACATCTCAAGGACAAAGAAAGACACTTTAATGGCGAACATATTTTTTTAAAAGGTGTCAAAAACTAAGAAAGGAAATAATTCAGAATCTTTTTGCATTCAGGGTACGGGGTTCTAAGCATTCTGAAATATTTTAGAAATAATTTCGGGAATGCAAAGATGTTTATTGGTACACAAGCAGTGATGAAAACTAGTAATTTCTTTTAAGTACAGGATAAGGTAAATAGATACTAATGCCCTAAAAAAGGATAGACTTCTTGTTTCTTTCTCTCCCTCCCCCCTCCCCCAAATTTTTGAAGTAAAGTAGACTGAGTGCTAAAGAACAACATCTAGAAAAATCACATTAGCCAATAAAAGAAAAGTAATGGCAGCAGTCACAAAGAATCTAGTTTTGTTTCAGTTCGGGCTACCCTTAAGCTTTCCAGGTAGTTCTTGATTTCTGACTACAACTGAGCCCAAAATTTCCATTGCTAAGCAAGACAGTTGTTAAGCAAGTTCCACCCCACCTTTTAGCATCTTCTTTTCACACCGTTGTTATGTGAATCACTGCAGTTGTTAAGCAAAACTGGCGTCCTTCCATTGCTTGACGGAAGCGGGCTGGGAAAGTTACAAAGTTTCACGATGACATGAACCCGGGACATGCAACTATCATAAACACATGCCAGTTGCAAGCGTTCATGTTTTGTTCACGTGACCGTGATGCTGCAATTGTCGTAAGTGTGAAAACCAGCCACCAACTGCTTTTTTCAGTGCCATTGCGACTTTGAACGGTCACTAAATGAATGATTGTAAGTCGTGGATTTCTTGTATCGCAGAATGAGAAGTTAGGTATAAACATCCTGGATTTTAGGTTCTTAAGTGGGGCAAGACATTTAGCAACTCAAGAAGTGTAACATACCCTTCTCCTGCCTAAGAACTGAAAAGCTAGGCTGCATTAACAGAGGGATAGAATCAAGATCACGTGAAGTATTAATACCACTTTACAGTGCCTTGGTAAGGCCACACTTGGAATACTGCATCCAGTTTTGGTCACCACGATGTAAAAAAGATGTTGAGACTCTAGAAAGAGTACAGAGAAGAGCAACAAAGATGATTAGGGGACTGGATGCTAAAACATATAAGGAACGGTTGCGAGAATTGGGTATGTCTAGTTTAACGAAGAGAAGGACAAGGGGGGACATGATAGCAGTATTCCAATATCTCAGGGGCTGCCATAAAGAAGAGGGAATTAAGCTATTTTCCAAAGCACCTGAAGGCAGGACAAGAAGCAACGGGTGGAAACTCATCAAGGAGAGAAGCAACCTAGAACGAAGGAGAAACTTCCTGACAGTGAGAACAATTAATCAGTGGAACAGCTTGCCTCCAGAAGCAGTAAATGCTCCAACACTGGAAGTTTTTAAGAAGAGACTGGACAGCCATTTGTCCGAAATGGTGTAGGGTTTCCTGCCTGAGCAGGGAGTTGGATTAGATGACCTCCAAGATCCCTTCCAACGTTACTACTACTACTACTACTACTACTACTACTACTACTATTATTATTTAGTTCCTGGAGAGGGGAGCTAGATTAAAAAAGATTTATAAATCCTTTGTGCCTGGGACCATCTCCCCATTTGGGTGAGGAGAGTTCCAGGAGAAAACTGGAGGAAGGCTCTTAAAAATCTGAGTTAGAAGATTCTGGTTTATTTGGAAGGTAGGACTTGGTCAAGGTAGGGAAAGGATAAGCAAAGGTAGCTAGAGCAGAAGTAATCTAAACCAGGGGTGCCCAATCTTGGCAAGGTTAAGACCTGTGGACTTCAGCCATGCTGGCTGGGGAATTCTGGGAGTTGAGGGATCTCCCGTGATCTAAAAAAAGGGAAGACGAGGAAGAAAAGCAAACAGAAGAACAGATCCTAGAGATCCAAGAAGGAGAGGACCAAAAAGCAAAAATGAAGAAGGGAAAAAGAAGGTGAACAAGTGGAATCGATTTTTTTTTTTTCAACGATCATCTTGGTTTCACTCGGCTGGGCTGATCCTGTTAGAAAGAAGTTTTACAGATGGAAAAAAAAATTAAACTTCAGTTCTCATAGGATCAGGACAAGTAAAGGGGGGGGGAGATTATTAGGACAGCCTCCCCCCTCCTGCCTTGCATTCACACTAAGGCGCAGCTGACTTTACTGGGCTAAAGAATGGAGAAAAAGGTCAGAAGAAGAGGAGAGCAGAAGCCTGGCTGGGGATTAGAGGCACTGATGTTCCCCCGCACTTTCGCCAACTCGCAGCCGGAGAATGACTGTGCTTTTCAACCAGGAGGGGAATACAAGGGGCTCTATCGCACCATCCCCTCCATAACTCCGATGGCCCAACTGGGAGTACGGTGGGGTGGGGACGATGGGGCCGGAGAGCCCCGAAACACACCAGACTGCTCTCCAGCGTCGAGGACACTATATAAACCAGGGCTAAAAAAAAAAAAAAAAAAAAGGAAAAAGGGAAAGAAAGAAAGAAAGAAAAAAAAGACGCCGGCTGGGCATCGGACCACCCGCGCATCCCTGGCGGGGACCAGCAGAGGATGCGGCGCTGAGAAGAGTCCCGGGCAAGGGGGGGGGCGGGGGACCTGATTCGGGGTTCTCAGAAGAGGATCAAGAAAAGTTCGAAGGGGGGGAGGGGACTGACTGGACAGCGACCCCCAAGATGGGGGGAAGAAACGGGGAGGGGGGGGAAGCCGGCTGCGGGGGGGCGCGGCGACCCCAGCCCCAGCCCCAAGAGGGGGGCGGCGGCGGAGAGCCAGGCTGGGACCCTCTTCTTCCTCCTCCTCCTCCCCCTCCCCGGCGCCCCTCCCGCCGGCCCCCCAACTTCTCCCCGCCCGTCCGGGGCCGCCCTCCTCCTCCCCGCTGCTCACCTCGCCGCCCGGACTGCTGCTGCTGCTGCTGCCGCCGGTGCTGCCGCCTCCTCCTCCGCCTCCTCGTCCTCTTCCCGCGGCGATCTCGGGCGGCGGGGGCGGCGGGGGCGGCGGCGGAGGGCAGAAGGGCTCCGCGTCGGGCTCAGGCGGCGGCTCCTCCGCGCCCTCGAGCGGCGCAAAGGGCACCATAGCGCCGCCTCCTCCGCCTCCTCCGCGCTCCTGCCCCTCGGGGCCGGCGGGGGGGGTCCTGCCTTGCGCCCGGCTGCCTCCTCCGAGCCGGGGCGGCCGCTCATGCTCGCCCCTCCCCGAGCGGAGGGGACGGCGCGGGACGGCGGTCGGGGCTAGGCGGCCGCCGGGGGCGCTCCGGCGCGGCGCATGGCTGGCGGGCCGGCCCCTCGGCTGGGAGGCGGGCGGGCTGCGCTGCTGCGGCGGCGGCGGCGGCGGCGGCGATCCGGCGAGCGGGGGCGGCTCCGAGCGGCGCCGGCCTCCGGGGCGGCGCCTGGAGGTGGGGAGGGGGCGCCCGTGACGTCAGCGGCGAGGGGAGAATTCCCCCCCCTCTGGCGTCGTGCGGAGGGCGCCGGCGAGGAAGGGGTTAAAAGACGGGGAGGCCTCCCCCCGGGGAGGCGTGACGTCAGCGGTTGCGTGGCCACCGAGAGGGGGTGACGTCAGTGGCGATGACGTTAGCGCAGCCCGAACAAAGGAGGGCGGGGGGGCGGAGGGGAGGGGTCGGCGGCCGGGCCGGCCAGGCAGGATCGCGCCAGGGAAGCCCGGGGCGAGGCAGGTGGGCGCGGCGGGCCGGGTCTTGCGAAAGGCCAAGCGGGTGGCCGCTGGCTCCGCAGCCTAGGGGTGCCCTCGAGCGAGCGGCGGCGGTGGCGAGGTGCCCGGGCAGGGCGTGCCGCCTTCCTTTGACCTCGCAGCCTTGGACTGCAACGCAATCGTTGGAGGGACGAGGTGGAGAAGGGTCAGATCGGGCAGGTGATAGCAGGCATCGGAGACTGTCTCCCCGCCCCCTTCAGATCTGCAGCCTTCCTTCCATCCTTCTTGCTTGCCTGCCTTCCTCTCTCCTTCTTTTCTTCCTTCCCACTCTTTTTTCCTTCTTTCCTTCCTTCCCTCCCTCCCTTTCTTTGCTTCCATCCATCTATTTTCCCTCTCTTTCTTTCTTTCCTTCCTTCCTTCCTTCCTTCCTTCCTTCCTTCCTTCCTTCCCTCCCTCCCTCCCTCCCTTCCTTTCCTTGCTTCCATCCATCTTTCCCTCCGTTTCCTTCCTTCCTTCCTTCCTTCCTTCCTTCCTTCCTTCCTTCCTTCCTTCCTTCCTTCCTTCCTGGCTCCCTTTCCTTGCTTCTTTCCTTCCTTCAATCCATCCATCTTCCCTCCCTTTCTTTTCCTTCCTTCCTTCCTTCTTTTCCCTTCCCTTCCCTTCCCTTCCCTTCCCTTCCCTTTCCTTTTGTTTGTTCCATTTCTGTGGCTGCTGATCTCAATCAATACCTTTGGGAAGCTTACAGTTCAGAAATATGTTACAATGAAAAGCATTTTTTTAAAAAAAACAAATAAAACAGTGAAAACCGTAAAACATTAAAACCTCTCTTGATCCTAAAAGCCTCTGCGAAGGGCAGCAGGCCTCTCTTTGCCCCTGGGCCATCCTGCTGCCCCCTCCTTTAAAACCAAACCCAAACCTCAAGACCTGGTTATGAGAATTCCCCCCCCCCAGGAAAAGAACTATGACAGGGATCAAAGTGAGCTCTGTACACACTCTTTCTTTTTGTTTAGCTCTTAATTTTTAGGGCAGCCTATAATCAAACTGAAATTATGTTACAAATTGGAAGTTTTAGCCACCAGCACCATGGGATGGACTGACTTAATTTTGATCACAGGCTTGTTGGTACGACAGAGGAAGCAACGTCTGCTAGGAAATGTGGGGGAAAAAAATGGATGCTTCCAATATGGGTGGTTAGATCTGTACCGCTTCCTATAGCTCAGAGCATTTTAAAAATGTGTGTTCTCATGACAAGCAAATCCATAATCTCTGGATTATAAGTCATCCAGGCCACGTTCAAAAGACAAAAATGACAAAAAAAAATGACAAAAGAAACCCGCATTCTAGCGTATTAGCATGTACCAATTCAACCCTTTCCTTGCCAAAGTAACTGCCACTGTATTCCCCTAATCTAGACTTATTTTTAAAAAGCATGTTCCTAAATTGCAATTGGAAGAACAAACAGCCATGACCCAAACAACTGCACAAGTGAGACAAAGCCTAGTGTGGCTGCCAAAAACCTTTTCTGCACAACCAATATGTTAAAAAGTTGTATTTGCTATACTCTGTGCCATGTCCGTGCTATCCATGTTAAAAAAAAGGATGTTGAAACTCTGGAAAGTGTGCAGAGAAGAACAACAAAGGTGATTGGGGACTAAATTACAGTATATGGTGAACAGTTGAAGGAGCTAGTTATGTGTCTAACTATCGAAGAAAAGGATTGGGAGAACATGATAGCTGTCTTCTAGTACTTGAGGGGCTGACACAGAGAAGAGGTGGGCTGACTTCTCCAAAGCACCAGAGGGCAGGAGAAGAAGGAATGGGTGGAAGCTTGTTAAAGAGAGATTCAATCTAGAAGTAAGGAGAAATTTTCTGACAGTGAGAACAATGGAATAGCCTGGAGTTGAGGGCTTCAAAAATAGACTGGGATGGTATGTGGTTCTCAACCTGTGGGTCGCAACCCCATTTGGGGTCGAACGACCATTTCACGGGGGTCACCAAACAATGCAGTCCGCCATTTTCCCCCCCTTTTCCTTAGCTGTGCTACTCCCTTTTATTCTATTGGCTTTTGAAAGCCCATAGAATAGACTCGCTTGAATAGAGTCTAATTCTATTGGCTTTCAAAAGCCAATAGGAATTGTCCAGGCTGTCTCTGCCCTGCTGAGCCCGCCCAAAGTCCCATTCTGCAAACGGTGCTGCACCAGTTGAGTAGTCCTCGATTTACGACCGGTTGAGTAGTCCTCGACTTACGACCGGTTGGGGGTCGCAGCATTAAAAAGGTTGAGAACCACTGGTATAAGGTCTCCTGCCTTGAGCAGGGGGCTGGACTAGAAGACCTCCAAGGTCCCTTCCAGCCCTATAGTTCAATGTTCTATTCTGAATTCTCTCCTCCCTTCTTCCCACGGGGCAAATCTGTGCTGGCAATGCAATCATAACACGAAGAGTTATTTCCCTGCACATGGTTATTATTAAGATTTCAATGCTTAAATAAATGCATTTGTCACAATATCTTTAACAGACTATAAACTACATCAGTTGACCAGCATACAGATTGAGCCTCCATGGGTGCCTTCTGGCTCCAATAAATATACAGTAACTTATACTTTTATGAAAGTTTTAAACAGTTGAGGCATTTCAGTTGACACCGCTCAGGGAACTGAGTCGATTCCTACGGCTTGTCGCTAGAGTTGTTATCGTAAAGCAGGGGAAAATTTTAAACGTATCTTCCGCCGATGAGTGACATTCAAAGCGTTGGAAATTGCTCTGCCTAAAAACAACCAAGATTATTTAAAATGAGAGCGAGTAGGCTGCAGTATTTAAAGGTAGACAGAGAACAGAGTTCTTCATTTAAATTGCCTCTCCAATAGAAGTAATCCTTCGCTTACCGCCACAACTGAGCAGCAGATTTCTGTTTCAAAGTTATTAAGTGAATTTTGCCCCAGTTTATGATCTTTCTTGCCACAGTTGTTAAGTGAATCATTGCAGTTGTTAGGTTAGGAACACAGTTGTTGAGTGAACCGTCATAAATACGAGTCAGTTGCCAAGCCTCTGAATTTTGATCACGTGACCACAGGGATGCTGCAACGGTCGTTAAGTGTGAAAAACGGTCATAGGTCCTTTTTTTCACTGCCGTTGTGACTTTGAATGGTCACTAAATGAACTGTTGTAAGTTGAGGACTGTTTGTTATTGAAACATCTTGGATGACTTCAAGTCTCTTTGTCCAATTTATCAGAGGGAGCTGTTGTGTGTGTGTGTGTGTGTGTATGTGTGTGTGTTTGTGTATTTGTGGGGGTGGATTGGAAAGGAAGAGGGATTGCAGGCTACAAATCAAATCAATAAATGCCACGAAAGCTGTTACGTGGAGTTCTGATTATCATTCATTAGCTGAATGAACTATGCTTTTCTAATGATCTCTGTGTAAAAGCCATTCTAAATAGAAGTATGGCTACATAAAGTGTTTGTATTTCTGCTTAAGATCATCGATGTTTGTGTGTGTGTGTGTGTGTCTTTGTGTGTGTGTGTGTGTGTGTGTGTGTAGACATGCCCTTAACATGAAGGATTTTTTTTCTTTGCCTTTCCTTTGTTTCCTTCATTTATTTTTCTTTATAAAGTTTTCAGTGTTTGATTTTATGCCTTAGTGTACCCAAGTTATTTTTAAAAAAAAAAAAATTAAAAAAAATGTCTCTGAGGAAGAGTGCCATTCAATATAGAGTTACTCAAAAATCTTGAAATTCTTGGGAGTAAAGTTGTTAATACCACTCCTTGCTTTAAAAAGAAAGAAAGAAGCCGTGTACTTTTCTGGCTGCTACGAACGGTTCATATTGATACTGAAATTAAATCTCCAGGTCTGTGTGATCTTACGCTGAAGGACTAATATTTGGCAACTCAGAATAACAATCCCCATTTTAAAAGGCTTTACATTTTTTTAAAAAAAAAAAATCCAAAGGTTTAACAGCATCTTAGTTCCACGCTTGGATCTGGTGGTACAGATTATAGAATGTCTGTCTGTCAAAGACGCAAAGCAATACTTATTACTTGAACAGGTGGCTGGAGTAGGGAGAACAGAAAATTGTTCATCTGGTGCACGTGGGTTGTATATTGGATTAAATGACTTTACAAAACTTCCTGGAAGAAACAGAGGCAGTGTTTTACTAAAAGAGTCTCTGAGTCTCTCTCTCTCTCTCTCTCTCTCTCTCTCTCTGTCTCTCTCTCTCTCTCTCTGTCTCTCTCTTCTCTCTCTCTCTCTCTCTCTATCTCTCTCTCTCTCTCTCTCTCTCTCTCCTCTCTCTCTCTCTCTCTCTCTTCTGTCTCTCTCTCTCTCTCTCTCTCTCTCTCTCTCTCTCTCTCTCTCTCTCTCTTTCTCTCTCTCCCCTCCCTCTTTTCCCTTTCTTTCCTTTTTGTGCGTTTCTCTCTCTTTCTCTTTCTCCCTTTTTCTTTCTTATTTCTCCCTTTATTTTTCTCTTTCTCTCTTTCTGTTTTTCTCTCTCTTTCTCTCTTTCCTTTTCTTACTCTCTCTCTCTGTGTTTCTTTGTGTATGTGTGTATTTTTATCTCTCTCTCTCTCTCCCTCCCTCCCTCTTTTTACCTTTCTTTCCCTTTTGTGCGTTTCTCTTTTTCTCTTTCTCCCTTTTTCTTTCTCGTTTCTCTCT